GGGCCCAAATCAGCAGTCCGACATCCCCCGAGGGATGTAGTAGTGCATGATGTGGCAGGCAGCTGGGGAGGAACCGGAGCCCGAGCCGGGCTCCCGCTCATCCTGGTCCCACTGCGCCTGCCACCTCTGCTGCTCAGTAGTGCTGCCACAAAGGTGGGAGAGGCTCGTGCTACCACAGCAGCGCTCACCAGCTGTGAGCCTCATGTCTGGCACCTGTTGGTCAGCTGAGCAGCGCTCCTGCTGTGGGAGCACAATGACCACCAGGGGGCAGCACCTGTGTTGAACGTATGCCCCCTGGTGGTCAGTGCGTGTCATAGGTACCGGTCCACCAGTCACTTAGGCTTTTATATATAGAGATGCTAAGTGTCCTTCCCACCTTCCGACTGGTCACTATGATGCACACTGACCACCAGGGGGCAGATGCTCAATGCAGGAGCTGCCATGATGTGCACAGAAAAAAACGGCACCTCGGACCTGGCGCCCAGAAAGCAATACTCAGCTTCCCCCAAGTGGGACACAGGCCCCACCATCACCCTGGAGCGACAGCCCACTAAATTGCAGCCAACACTGCCAAGACCCCATGGTGCAAAATGCAGCCCACAGCCCAGCCCAGCCTGGAAACAGTTGCTGTGGATGCTGGTTAATGATGTCATGTAGCAACACCTGGCTTCCTCTCCCTAGCGACTAGCCTCCTTGGAGTTCCAGGAACACAGGTGAAAACATTTTACCCTTCAACCAAATATCTGTGAAGTGTTTTCCCATGCCTCATCTCATTTGATCCTCACAGAAGTCCTGGAGTAGGTAGATAGGAGACTCAGTAGAATTTCTATTTTCTTTTCATTAGCTGGAAAATGGAGATTTAGAAAGCTTAGAAACTTGACCCAACTAAAAAGAAGTAAGAAATGGTGGACCTTGAAATTACCTGAAAAAGTTGGGGTGCTTCACTGGGATGGAAAAAGTTTAGCTAAATCAGAAAGCAGGTCTAATTAAGCAAGTTTATTCTATATATATAAAAGGCTAAGTTGACTCACACATGCACAATACAGTGGGGCCTTGACTTACGAGTGTCCCGACTAACGAGTTTTTTGAGATATCAGCTGTCTCTCAGCTGATTTTTTGCATTGAGTTGACAGAGTAATTTGACTTAACGAGCTCCTTAACGAGCTCGGTCTCAGAACGAATTAAAGTCAAGGCCCCACTGTACATATAAAGCTCTCATTGGTGCCAATCTCACGTGTGTGTGTTTCCATCTGTCATTGTCAATCGTGAATTTGGTTGACACTTCTATTATAGAGAAGGGCAAATAGTGATATTAAAATATTTCTTCTAATTAATTTCCTTTCAATGTGCATAAATTCGTGCACCAGGCCACTAGTATCTTATCTAATAAAGAGGTAATATGCAAATTGACCATCACACTGTCACAAAGATGGCAGCACCCATAGCCACAAGATGGTGGCGCCCAGTCCCCTCAGCCCTGCCAGAGTCCCACAGTCCTTTCAGCCCAGCTGGTGGGGGGGGGGGGGCAGCAGGCGCATGACGCAGCCAGACATTCCCTCAGCTCCCAGCCGCCCAGGGCTGGCCCGAGGCGCAGGCAAACCTTGGATGTCGGCTGCCCAGCTGCCCAGGGCAGGCCCAAGGCATAGGCAAGCCTCAGATGACTCAGGTAACCAGGGCCGGTCGAGGCTTGCGCTGCCGGCAGTGGCAGCAGCAGAGGTGTGATGCAGGCATCGCCTTCCCCTGATTGCCAGGTCACCTCCCACCCCTGAGGGCTCCCGGACTGTGAGAGGGGGCTGGCCCAGCTGAGGGACTCCCTGTCCAGTGCATGAATTTTCTAGTCTACACTAATAAAAGACAAACATGCAAATTGACCATACCTTCGCTACGCCTTAAGTCACGCCCACCAGCCAATCAGAGCGACTATATGCAAATTAACCCAACCACGATGGCGGCCGGCAGCCACGGAGCTGGAGCAAGCAGGAGGCTTGGTTGACCCGGTGATGGAGGAAGCCAAGCTTCCCGCCTGCTCTGGCCAGCTGT